AAAATTCTTATTAAGCTCAAGGATGACAATCATGATTTTATTTCGGATGTCTATTATGTGCCGGATATGAAGAATAGCATTTTGAGTTTAGGGCAACTTTTAGAAAAGGGCTATGATATTAGCATGAAGAATCTCCACCTTACAATTAAAGATGCTCGTGGTAATTTGATTGCTAATGTGAAAATGTCCAAGAATAGAATGTTTCCTTTGAATATTCAACATGATGCGATGAGATGTTTGAATGCTATTATTAAAGATGATTCTTGGTTGTGGCACTTGAGACTTGGACATCTTAATTTTGGTGGCTTGAAGCTTTTATCTAGCAAGAAAATGGTGAAAGGTCTACCCTACATAGATCATCCGGATGAGTTATGTGAAGGGTGTATTCTTGGCAAGCATCAAAGATTAAGCTTCTCAAGAGAAGTCAAGTGGAGAGCATCACGACCATTGGAGCTTGTGCACACCGATGTTTGTGGTCCTTTGAAGCCTATGTCAAATGGTAACAATTGTTACTTTCTTACTTTTATTGATGACTATAGCCGGAAGACTTGAGTGTATTTTTTAAGAAGGAAGTCCGAAGTGTTTGAAGTTTTTAAGGAGTTCAAGAATCTTATTGAGAAGCAAAGTGGTTATTTTATCAAGAGGTTCGATCAAGGTGGTGAGTATAGTTCCGATTTATTTGAAGACTATTGCAAGGAGCATGGAATTGTGCATCAATTCACGCCAAGCTATACACCTCAACTGAATGGAGTTGCGGAAAGAAAAAATAGAACTATTCTTGATATGGCTAGAAGCATGTTGAAAGGAAAGAGATTGCCTAGAGAATTTTGGGCCGAAGCTGTAGCATGTGCAGTGTACTTGTTGAATCGATGTCCAACCAAAAGTGTTCGTTTTAAGACTCCGGAGGAAGCTTGGTGTTCATTCAAGCCGAGTGTAGCCCATCTTAGAGTTTTTGGATGCATTGCTTATGCGAAGATTCCCGAAGCAAGGAGGACAAAACTTGATGATAAAGGTGAAAAGTGCATTTTTCTTGGGTATGGTGATAGAACAATGGGGTACAAGTTATACAACCCCATTACCAAGAAAGTAATCATGACTAGAGATGTTATCTTTGAAGAGGAAGACATGTGGGATTGGAAAGGAAAAATTTCAGCCACTGAAGTGGAACTTATGCTTGAAGAAGAAGAGTCTGAAGAACCAAGGGAAGTCCAAAGAGAGCCACAGACACCTCCACATGGATCCCCCTCATCTTCTACAGGTGAATCATCATCATCATTAGATTCAAGTTCAAGTCAAAGACCAAGGAAAATGAGAAGTTTGCAAGAGATATATGAATCTACGGAAAATTTTGAAGGTAACTTGAATTTGTTTTGTCTATTCATGGATTGTGATCCTTTATGTTTTGAAGAAGCGATTCAAGAAGAGAAATGGAGAATAGCAATGGATGAAGAAATGAAAGCAATTGAAAAGAATGATACATGGACACTAGTTAGTCTTCCCCAAGGTCAAAAAGCAATTGGTGTGAAGTGGGTGTATAAAACCAAAAAGGATGCAAATGGTGAAGTCCAAAGATATAAGGCAATGTTAGTTGCTAAAGGCTACAAGCAAAGGGTCGGAATTGATTATGACGAGGTATTTGCTCCCGTTGCTCGTTTGGAAACAATTAGGTTGATGATTTCTTTTGCGGCACAAAACAAGTGGAAGATTTATCAACTTGATGTGAAATCGGCATTCTTGAATGGATTTCTTGAAGAGGAGATTTATGTTGAACAACCTTTGGGGTATGTGAAGAAGAGACATGAAGATAAAGTGTACAAGTTGAGAAAAGCTCTCTATGGATTAAAGCAAGCACCGCGCGCATGGAATGCTAGAATTGACAAATATTTACATGAGAATGTTTTTCAAAAGTGTCCTTATGAGCATGCATTATACATGAAGATGGATGGGAATGGAAGTGTGTTACTTGTTTGTCTTTATGTTGATGACTTGATCTTCACTGGCAATGATCCAATGATGTTTGATGAATTCAAGAGAAGTATGATTAAGGAGTTTGAAATGACTGATATTGGCTTAATGTCTCATTTCCTTGGCATTGAGGTAAAGCAAAGAGAAGATGAAATTTTTATTTCTCAAAGTGGTTATGCAAAGGAAGTGCTCAAGAAGTTCAAGATGGATTCTTGCAACCCAGTGAACACGCCCGTTGAAGTTGGATTGGAATTGAGGAAGAGAATTAGTGGTGAAAATGTTGATCCAACTTACTTCAAAAGTTTAGTTGGAAGTCTTCGGTATCTTACTTGCACGAGGCCAGATATTCTTTATGGAGTTGGCTTAGTTAGTAGATACATGGAAACACCGAATCAAACTCATCTTAATGCAGCAAAGAGGATTCTACGTTATATTAGAGGTACACTCAATGATGGCTTATTTTATTCTTACACTAATGATTTTAGACTTGTTGAATATTCAGATAGTGATTGGGGACGAGATTTGGATGAAAGGAAAAGTACCTCGGGTTATTGTTTTTTCATGGGAGATACGGCTTTTACTTGGTCATCCAAGAAGCAAACAATTGTTACTTTGTCTACATGTGAAGCGGAGTATGTGGCTGCAAATTCAACAGTTTGTCATGCTATTTGGTTGAGGAACTTGTTGAATTATTTGGGATTTTCTCAAGAAATTCCCACAGAGATCCTTGTTGATAATAGATCGGCAATGGCGTTGGCAAAGAATCCGGTGTTTCATGAAAGGAGTAAACACATTGATACGCGCTATCATTTTATTAGAGAGCATGTGAAAAATGAAGAAGTGAACTTGGTACATTGCAAGACTCAATATCAAGTTGCCGACATTTTTACAAAGCCATTGAAGCATGATGTGTTTAGAAAATTGAAAATGATGCTAGGCATGAGAACTCAAGGAATTGAGTTTAAGGGGGGATGTTAGTTTTATAAACTCTATTTTTTTTAAGGGGTATTTTTTTTGTATTTTTGGGTATTGAAAAGTCATGATATTTGAAGTGATATATACTAGAAGTGTCCAGAATATTTTTGAGAAGTCTATTCATGTATTTGGGAGACTTATTCATGTATGGTTGCATGGAAAGTTGAACAGTTTTTTCTTGGAATAGCCAGTCATAAAGTGGCCAAATTTAGAGTGTTTTGGCTAGGAAAAATCAATATAAAAGGGGCCGGAGTTACTGCCCAAAATAGAGAGTCTCTGTGCAGAAAAATAGAGAGGAAAAAGTGAGAAAAACAGTGTGTTTGCTGCCTGAAAAAAAACAGCAGCTTGTTCATGAGCAGAAGCTCTATTTCTTTATATTTTCTTAAGTATTTACTGCTGAAAAATTCTGATAAGTTGCTCCCCATGTATTCCTTGATATTGTGATCATATTTGATGAAATATAGAGATGTTTCTTGAGTGAAATTAGTGTGGAAGTGGAACAGTTTTTCATCCTCTATTTTTGTGCTCTTTAGTAGTTTTTTTTTTTTTGGCTTCTAATTCCCAACAGTTGTTGCACCTGCACCTGCATCCCAATTTGTTAGGTTTTTTTGACTTCTTTCCTTACAAGACGTCAGATTATGATATTTCAAATATCAAGAGTGTTCGAGCCAGTTTATGCGTATCTCGACTAATTCTCCTCACGGTTGATCAAAGAAAAACCATTCACGTCGAGATTAGGGTATTCATGAGGGATAAATCCGTTATGGCCTAACCCTAAGTGGTTGTAAAGATTTGAATTTATGACGTCTGAGTTTATTGCTCATCATATTTATGTTTACATATTTTAGCCCATGAGTAATGCTATTATTGGAACTTAAAAATTTATATAATAATATATTAACCTAATGAAGTGATTTCGTTGTAATCAGTAGATTAAGACCAAATTCTAATGTTTGATCGAGTCTTTAATCAATTCAATAACTATAGTGAATTAAGTCGACAAATTATGTCTCATTGCATTGCTCTTTAGCCCCCTCCCTTTGGAAAACCCAAGTCTCGCATTGTACAGCACATCAAGTAATACATGAAAATTTATCTCAAGGACGCGTTAAGTAGGCCCTTTTGCGCTTCTGTTCCTTAAGCCGCCCCCCCCCCCCCCCCCCCCCCCCCCCTTTTTGGAAAACCAAAGTCTCGCATTGTACAGCACATCAAGTAATACATGAAAATTTATCTTAAGGACACGTTAAGTTGGCCCTTTTGCGCTTTTGTTCAGTGACATAAATTTGCTGTTCATCCAGCGAGTATAAAACACAGTTTACTGGTTCTGTGTGTGTGTGAAGAGAGAGAGAGAGAGAGAGAGGTTTCTTGCATTACATGAGAAGTGTACGTGAAGAAATAGAATTATTATAGGTGGTTGTTAATTTTGATTTTTTATTTTGTTGTATTTACTTCTTATATTCTCCTTGTTTTACTTCAAGTTTTAGCTTGAATTGCACTCTAGGGTGACATTAGAACTGAAAACTCTCTCTCTCTCTCTAGCAACAGATTGCCCCATCTGCACTCAAATACCTTCTCCATCTTTAGTGTATTGCCCTTACTAAAATTTGTTTCTTCTAATTCATATTATCAATTTCAATATACCTTTAGACAGTGTAGAAATGACCCCTAACTACATTTATTCCTCTTCATATATTAAACTTGAAATCCAAGCAACCTTTTCTCAACCAATCACAATCCCACTAGTCTGTCTCTCTCTCTCTCTCTCACACACACACAATTATTTTGAGTGAGAATAAGAAGTTCGAGGAGGTGTAAAGGATATCGCTGTTGAGTACAAAAGACCTAAAAGAGGAGGAAGAAGAAGAATAATTCAATACCTTCACCAACCCTCAGGAACAATTGGATTTAGGGGCAACATACTATAGAAGAGACTAGTTACTTTTTTTTCCCTCTCTCCTTTTTGTGCTGTCTCTCCTCATGACTTTGTCCATATAGCATTTCTAGCAGAAGAGTAAAGAAGGGGAGAAACAGTGGCATGAACAAGGAGGAAACAGAAGGAAATGGGTCGTTGCAGTAACTGCAGCGACGAGCGAGACAGTATGAGAAGGTCACCATCATCTATTGACGAAAGTTTCAGAGGTTATAGAACCAGAAGTTGTCCCTCGTGTGGTCATCAGATCAAATGTCAAGACAAGGTATAAATATTACTTTTAATGTCGAAAAACCTCTTCTTAGAATTGTATTAAACCGAGCCTTGAAAAATAAATCTCGAATACATACACCAGCTAATCTTAAGTCTAGTCCAAGTCCTAAAGAATTGAACGTAATACATCCGAGTTTGCAGTGCTCCATAGAGTTCACTCGGCAATCATGGGTTTTCCTCGCATGTTTATAAATGATTTTATTCTTATTGATTTTATAATGATGATCATGTTCATGTGTTCTTTTTATGATTGAACAAGAGTAGGCTGGAATACATGATCTGCCGGGGCTGCCGGCTGGAGTGAAGTTTGATCCAAGTGACCAGGAGCTTCTTGAACATTTGGAGGCGAAGGTGCGGTTGGATGCTCATAAGCTTCATCCCCTAATTGATGAGTTCATCCCTACACTGGATGGAGAGAATGGAATTTGCTATACCCACCCAGAGAAATTACCAGGTGATATGCAAGAACCCAATAGTAACAAAATTAAATAAGATCTAGAAACTTGACCCGTAGTGCCAAACAAGGTAAAATAACAAAGAGAAAAAGTAATTAGGCTATGAATGCCCGATTGTGATTTGCAGTGATGAACAAAAAGAGCGTTGATCAACTATCTCAAACAATTGAAAAATAAATTAAGATCAACAGAATAGGATCTGCAATAATGGGTCACTATCCTTGAAAAATCTTATCGAGAAAATGAAAATACTGGTGAAAGAAAGGATCTCTTGAAGGGATAACCGGAGTGAAACCAAGTGTTGCAGATCTGTATAACGTCTTCTGTTAAACGTATCATTTTCTTAGAGTTAGTTTTTAAACTCCAGTGAAACCTATGTATGAATCAAGATACACTCCTTGTTTTTAGCTTGATCTATGTTTACAAGACGATACTCGACTTCTACTAAACCATACTCCATCATGTATTTAGTAATATCTAAAAAACAGTCCAATGCAGTTTGATTCAGAATTTTTATAGCCTCATTTGATAGAGTTCAAGACCCTTCTTGGAGAAAAACCTCCGCCACAAGTTCAAGCTTAATATTATCCCTACATGCTTAGGATTAATATGTAACTAGATATAGGTGCGGTAGCTTTGAATAAGCCAATTTCCTCCTTATGTTTTATTAGGTCGCAGGAGAAAGTTATAAGGGTTTTCTATGGGGGGTCATCAATCTTGTCACTAGAAAGTCACACAGCAATATGTCACTAGAAAATTATAGACTCATCATGCCAAATCTCCGAACGTTTAACTTTTTTTATATAAAAATTAATGTAACGGTTGATAATGTTTTCTCAAACAACATTATTTAAGCAAAAAAGTTTTTTATTACTACATAATATTGATCTATATGAATCTTAGTAGGAAAAAAATAGACATCTATGTCTACAGATGTGTTATACTATCCATACAATCAAGTTTAGAAGAATGAAGTAAGTTAAGGTTAGCAAAAAACAAAAATGCAAATTTATAAAAACAATCATGACTTAAAAGGTTCTTGAAACTGAAAAAATTTCATAAAAAGTATCACCAAGCGTTAGCTAGGATGTGAACAGTTTCATGCTGCATTTTGATTATGCAGGAGTAAACAAAGATGGCCAAATACGACATTTCTTCCATAGACCTTCCAAAGCATACACTACCGGAACTCGGAAAAGAAGAAAAGTTCACACGGACATCGACGGGAACGAAACACGGTGGCACAAAACCGGGAAGACAAGGCCAGTTTTCGTAAAAGGCAAAGTGAAAGGGTACAAGAAGATACTTGTGCTCTACACCAACTATGGAAAACAAAAGAAGGCTGAGAAAACAAATTGGGTGATGCATCAATACCACATTGGCAATAATGAGGATGAGAAAGATGGAGAGTTAGTAGTTTCAAAGGTTTTCTACCAAACTCAGCCTAGACAATGTGGTTCCATTGTGAAGGACTCATCGCCTGCGAAATCAAACGGTCGAAGTGGGCGCGATGATCCTCATCTTAAAGACACTGCCTTTGTTGAATACTGCAATCCTTCTCTCATCTCTTTCAATCAAAGTGAGCAGAATCATTCGACTGCTCGGCTGATTTCAAATTTTAATGTCCCTCATGGTTCTTTTATTCCTTGACAATGTGAAGAGCCTATAGACTCATGATCCTAGTACTCAGGAATGTAACTATATATGTCCAAATGCAGGTTCAAATTACTTTGCAGTAGCATTGATGAAATAAATTAAAACATTGGTATCTTTTAGGAGGAAGCAAAGGCTGGGAAGAGTAAGAAGGGTTTCTTTTCTTGAGGAATATGGACAAATAATTCTAAGATTGAAGTTGAAGATTTAGCTATGCAGCATTTTCTTATATTCCATGCAGATATTAATTGTATTTGTGCGTTGTGCAAGTAGGACTGATGTCAAATTTACAAGGACTTTGATCTGGGAAAGTGATTGTATATGGTAATGTAACTGTACAGAGATTACATCTGCAATTGTTGTCTCTAATATATATCAGCTTAATTCCTTGTTCTTTTGAACTTGCAACAATATTATGAACTAAAGATGAATTGGCTCTCTCTCTCTCTCTCTCTCTCTCTCTCTCATGCGAATACACATACATACACACACCTCCACCCACAGCCACACCCACACATTCTTCCACAGTTCTCCACCGCTAGTTAGGAATCATGGATAGTTGCCAGAGGGTGTAGACCAACACACGACTAAGATAGTGTATTTTTTAGGTATTCAAGTGCCCGTATTTGAAGTCAAAATATTTAATTGCATAAATTTTGGCTTATTTTTTGGGATACATGAGGTTTCCTTGTGTAGCTTTCTTAAATATTGATACTGATGGTAAGGGATTGGTAGAGTTTATCATGGAAAGATTTTTACAAAATCAAGCACTCACATTTACTAAGTTGATAATACTTCAAGGATTCGTTTGGTAAACGTATTGTAAGGGGATTAAATATTAGATTGTACTATTTTTTATTTAATCGGGCCTAATACTTTGTTTGGTAAGCAAATTTGATACCGTATTAATTTCAAAAACGTATATTGATCGTATATTTTTTATACATAGCTCTGTATTATGGAAATTTTTTAATACCACTAAGAGAGGTGGTATTATAATCAAACTCAAACGTATTATTCTACACATTTACTATTATAACCTCTTAACTGATAAAATCAAGTTGTCATTGTAGAGTTGCCAAAGAGTGTCGTGACACTGTCAACACATGCTGTTAATAGGGATCGCAGAGGAGACCTCGTTAAACTCCCAGCAAAGAGAACCACATGTTTTTTGTTTTCTATTGTTTTTGCAAACATGAATTTTTTGTTTCCAAATTTTGAGCTTGTTTTCAAAATAACTTAGATGAAAATAAAAACAAAAACAAATACCAAACACATTTTTGTTTATTTTTTTTGAGAAAAATTGAAAACCAAACAAAAAACACCAAACAAAAACACTTACCAAACATACCCTTAAATTCCTGAGCCTAAACCTGTCCCTTGTCTTTGTTCAGTTCACCTATAATTTCTTCCCCTTTCAGCAATGGTAACTGCCCCTAAGGTCCCAAATAATGATACCATAGAATGAGTTGAAACTTTTACCACCTACCTTTAAGCATCTCGAGTGGACTAACCGAATAGCCCATTGTGAGACAAAACTTTTGGGGTCGGAAGTATAATTTCTCTTAGCGAGTTATAGGAGTTAAAGAGTCATTTTCTAAGTAATTAGGGAGGTAAAGGCAACCGGATGGATTGGATGGACAACATCAACCTGAGCAATCAGACTCAACATAAATGTAGCCACCGGAACCATTCTAAAAAGGGAAAAATTAGCATTACTTGGTGAAATAGGTTATTTTACGATCAATTTCAAACCATTTACTAGAGGTTGTAACAATTCAAACGTGGATATGATTTTCGTTGATTAGATTAGTCTTTTCAGCATCTTTTCTAATCTAGTCAAATCAAGTATGAATGATTCCGATGTTGTCATGTTGACTGTACTAGTTTTGGGGGTAAGAACTAGGTCATCCGAGACTGAGATCGGGTGCAAAAGAGATTAGAAGTAACTCGAAGCCCCCGTGACCTTAAATGGAGAAAGAAATGCTTAAGGAAAATACGCCCTCAAAACTGACGCATTGACTTGGAGACACGAGACATTTTAAATTGTAGGAATGCCTTCAATATGCAGAAACTTGTAAAACCGGTGTATGAAAATAGTTAATCCCATGAATTCAACATTAAGAGCATGAAACTAGAACTGATTTGGGGTTCTGCGGCAGGTCAGATCGACCAACCCATGAACTAGTTGGCCAGCCCTCAGCCCAGTGCCTTAGGTTAACTAGCCTCCATGACTAGGTGACTAGTATCCTCCACCAAAGCAAAATTTTTATAATCAGAATCCTATCTTAGATCGATGGAAAAGGCTAAAACATCGTAATCGTAAGATCAGATATGCTTGAAATTTGAAAAACTTCAATTTGAGCATTTGAAGAGGGGTTAAAATTAAAGGTGTATTGTTTAATCTTGTAGGATTTTGCATAGGGGAATAGGAGAATTGAGATATTTTGAAAGACTATTGAATAATAACATTGACTATTCAGCATCCAAAAAAAAAAGACGAAAAGAATAAAAATGACAGATTATCTGGCTATGATCACTCGACGAAAGAGAATATCAAATCTAACTTTTGCTTTTAGTAACTTCAAAGAAGTTTAATGCTTACACTAAGGTTCTCGTGGGAAAGACTCATTAAGATCTAAATAATGAGAATACAATTGATATGCCAAAATGCGAAGGCGGCTAGTCAACACTATCAATTTAAGAATTGACTGAGATAAATATTAAGCGGAAATAAATTACACAAAATAGAGAAAAAAATTGCAACAATCAAAGAGGTGCTACGTATCTTTCACATATACTTACATGAAAAAAGAAAAAATAAACAATGCCAAAAGGAATCAAAAAAAGAGAAGTGAAATGGGATAGCAGATCATCTATTCATATGAGAAAGATGATCTACCATCCCCAAAATCACAGTGATCTCCATCAACAATATGCAGTCAAGCCCATAAGAAACAACATGAGGACAAAAACATTGCAGCAACGTGGGACAGCAGCAACGAAAAAGCTTGAGTGCATAGTCATCAAGCATGACCAAAGCAGAGCAGCCAGCAAGTAGGGTCAAGACAAAGCAAAACACATAAAGGCTAAGACAGACGCATATCTGCCCATCCAGTTTCAAGCAGCAACATTCGGAACAGCAGCAAAGAAGGTCAACAAGAACACAGCATGACCACATAAAAAAAAAGGCTAGAAAAGGACCCCCTCAACAAGAGAGTTCAAAAATTAACTTTCATGGGGGTTCAAAAATTGTTTCTAGTAGGGACCATTGTCTCTGTCATCTAAGTCCAAGGAAAAGATGATCTGCCATCCCCCATCAAAGAACTTAATCATATTGGGATAAGCATATCAATCCATTTCCTTTAAATCAGCAACAAGGCCACTACTCAGCAACAAACAGCAAACAGAATCAGCAAGCATCTACGGCAACCAACCAGCACAGCAGAATCACGAAGAAATTGCAGAAATAAAAAACAGAGAATAGGGGAGTTCTCCACCAGGCCAGCACCTCACCAAGACAGCACACAGCCACACAAGGGTCCAAAGCCTGGCTAACTTTATTTTGGGCCAGAGATCAATTTTTTTTTCTCTTTTTATGCATGCTAGAACTGTGCTCCATTAGACATTATGTTTAATAGTTCTTCTTTTCCAATAAATTACTTAATCAAGAGAAATATGTTGCAGGTGTTTATGTATGTTTTCCATATATCACTTTGTCTACGAAAATTTATTTAGTACAGCCTCTCTCTTGACAATTCTTAGTACCTGCCCGAAAGAAAATTTCGTTGATTCCTTAGTGTTGGTTTCAGTTTGTTAGTTATGAATCTAAAAGACCTTGATGTTTCTTGATTCTTTCTTCTTTCTTTGGTAGAAGCACTTACCTAACTTCTTGTTGTACCTTTTACTTCTTGCTCGCAATTGTTTTGATTTTGTCAACTTAGATGCTTGTTATTAATTTAAACTAGAATAATAAATTATGTCATTCATTAAATTGGGTCCCACTATATATGTCAATCCAAATTTCCTATAAGCGATTTATTATTGATGAAAATCAAGAAAAAAAAATGTAAAACAAATAATAAGAGGGATATGCAATAGGGATTGAACCAAGAAGTTTATTTGGTCTTAGAGCCTACCTGTCCTGTCCTCCCTGACCTACCTGTCCTGTCCTCCCACCATCTTGAAATAGGATTGATATGTTTTTATATCAAATATGATAAGGTACAAAAAATCATTGTATATAAGATATTCAATGTAACAAATGACACCATATCATCAACGTCACGTGATATCACCAATTAGTTATAGAATACCATGTAAACTTAGTAGGTTCCGCTATTTTAAAAACTACCGATAACCACCATATCCAGAAACTACTAATTTAGAATAGTGACATTCACTAATCTTATTTATATTTTATTATTAGTTGATAATATCACGTGTTAACGATAACGTGATATCCCTGTTACGCTCAATTATCTACTTGAAACCTAGAATCAGCACTAACAGGGGATCTGATCAGTGAACCATTTAAGTATTTTAAAAGGAAGCTTCACAAGATCCACCGCCATATTCACAAGTCCAGCACAACAGCAGCAACATGGACACAAACAACTCACCACAGACCTGCGGGTATAGGAATTTTTGTTTCAAAAAAGGTTAAAAACAGAAGGAAAAAAATTGAACAAAAACAATTCATATGTACAAGGAAGTTACATATTCATGATGGTAGAGTTCAATTAATATTGAAGTTCACTATTAATCTAATAATAAAATTACTACAAGGAAGAAATACTTTGGATATTTTTTGGGTGGGTATTTTATTAGACACAAGATAACAAAAAAGAGATCTTGTTGTACGAATTTAATATTAATTCTTCCAAAGAATAGTAAGAAAAGGCATGATCAATTTAGGAACATACTTTTGTATTGTAAATAAAGTTTTTGAACACCTTGCGGTCGATTCAAAAAAATCATTTGGGGTCGGGCCATAAAATATTTATCCTTCGCTAATACCCCAATCTGTCTGTTTTTTATTAGATCGGATACATATAACCCAATCCAAACACCTCTAGCAATTGAATCAAAAAAAAAAAAAATAGAGTTTATGAAAAGAAGTTAAGATAGCCAGAGAACCATATGGAATGGGAAGGAATAACAGATATCATAATGAAACAACATAAGAAACTATAATGGTTATGAAATACAGAAAGTAGGACAAACATACCCTATGACCCAGATTACAGCACCCACAAGAGAGAGAACCACTGCAATAAGAGCAAATGGGAGTCCCACCAAGAATCCCAATGGCCTGCAATCTTCCATTCCTCCAATTCTCCAGAAACCCAGACAAGAAATAAACCCAGTTACCCACTCTCTCACCTTCAAACTGTCAGGGATACAAAGAGGGGTAGTTTCCAATTTGTTTATGTTTTGGGCCTTTGGGCTTTGCAGAACTCTCGTTGGATGGGGAGCTATCACTCCCACCTTCTTGTATTTACTTGACAAAAATACCCTTAAGAATGATATAATTTACATGGGTGATAGAGGAAGAACAGTTTGTTTTTGCTGAATTTTCGGGGTGATTTCAACATTTTAGTGCTTTAATTGGTGTAGCGATGAAGGTTCGCCGGTGTTTTGGTCCAGAGAGGCAGCAAAAGCAAAAAGCTCTCCCTTATACACTATATTTCCACAAGTAGAAAATAAAATATTATTATTTTATTTCTTCCACGGCTATAACGCATTCACGAAGAATCAATAGTCCTTATTCTTTTATATACGAATATTTGGTACTATATATGAACTTTTTTTGAGGCCAAGGGCATATAAAAGTGAGTTGATTTGATACCCAAAGGATTGTCCACTCACGAAGAATAAACTTGTTAATGAATCTTATATTTAAATTAAATTTTATCTGATTCAAATTCAAATTCAAGTGAAAAATTCGGCACAAATATATAACGAATTTTGCTATTAGATTCGATAAATCTAATTAGATTTGAATGACATAATTAAAACTATTTTTAACAAATTACATATGAATTGCAATTCAATTTTTAATAAAATAATCACTCAATTATAGATCTCATTAAATAAATAGTCTTTTTCATATCCATCACATTTAATTTCATGAATTTATTGGTATTAATTTGTATTTCTCATGTGAATAGGTGATGGTGTCGATTGCTGTTGATTTGTATTTCTCAGATGGTATTGATTCGATGACATCGTCAGCATCAATAAGACTTGAGGCCTCATGGCCCAATAGCCCACCGGGTTAAAGGTAGCCAACTAGCCTATTAGCCCTCTGGGCTCTGGATAGGGCATGTAGGTTGGGCTAGCCCAACCCATTGGTTGGTTGACTTTTTATTTTGGAATTATCCAAGATAAAATTGAATAAATATTACCTTTAGGATCTATTCCTCGTGAATACACTAGTCTTGGCATGGGTAGTTTGTCTTTGATTGGATTGGAAGGAAATTAGACAAGGTGCGTGTAAGTTAACGCGAATACCTCTAACCGTTGAACTAAAAAAAAAAAAAATTGAATAAGAATTCTTCTTATGATTTTTTAAAAAAGTTTTCAGAGCCCACAAGAAGTTTATAACTATTCTTATATGACAAATCACAACTTTTGTAAAAGTTATGACAAACACACATTAAGATTCTGGTTATGAAGATATGAACACTGCATAGTATTAGGGAGTATTTTATATTTTCATATAGTCCACGTGCAACACAAGTGTGTACCATCTAATTGAATAAAAGGTTAAGACACAAGACTTGAAGCCCTGGGTGTTAGTACCGTCATAATAAATTCATCCACCAATCTTTTTTAACGTTTAAAAAATTCACATCTCGTTTATTCTCATATTTTCTCAATTTCTTTCTTTAAAGTACATAATCATTTTGCAAGAAAAACATATTAATTTAAATAAGAAATCATACCATATTTTTAACAAAAGAATAAGAGACACTACTCTCTCTCTCTCTCTCTCTCTCTCTCTCTCTCTCGTGTTGGGCCTGACCATAGGTTGGGTGAAGCCTTAAGGTTTGCGTGGGTGGGGGTTGGAGCTATCTCACATCGGATAGTCTTGGAAATATGTGTGTGTTTGTTTAAATGGATTTCACTGTCCTCACACTTTTAAGTGTGAGTGGTTTTGGGTCCTACTGGTCAAAAAAAAAAAATTAATTCATTTAGCATAACCGGATTATAGTGCAATAATAAAAATGAATGATCAAATCCAAAAAAGTTTAAACAATAAAAAGAAGTAAAAAGAATATGTTTGCAACACATTTTAAATTTAGGCCTCGAGTATTGTTAGCTGACCACGTATGTGAAATTTGGGATTCTATTTGATATTTTTATCACTCTCTTGTGATAATTATTTTTATTATTTTTTTTATGCAGTGATAAAAATATTTATAATAATAATAAAAATACTCATAAAAATAATAAATATCAGTATAGTACTAATTTTTATTTTTTTTTGGTATAGATTACTCCCTCAAAACATAATGTTGGACAGTTAAGAAACAATATAGTGACAAAATAAGTGTAGCGGAAAGAAAAATGTTATAATGATTGTATAGAAAAACTAGAAATAATCGTATTAGATAAATAATAGGAGTGACTCCAATTGAAGATAAGTTAAAAAAAAATAGATTAAGATGGTTAATTATGTTCAACGGAAGTCGATAGAAGTATCAGTTCGAAAAAGTGAGAAATTTCTCTTACCGTTACTAAAAGTAAGGGTAGATTTAAATTAACATTAAACGAAATAATAAGAAAATATATAAAAATATTTAACTAATTAAATAAGCGTATAGCGCATGATCGAAATGAATGATAAAAACAGACTCATTTAACCGATCTCAAATAATTAGAATATAGGACTCAATTTGGGTTGATTTAGTTATACAACTCCCTCAAAAAGAAAGAACCGTGGTGATAGCTTCGCTAAATTCCCAAAGATTTTGTTGCATTTGAATGTGGTCACATTCAAATGAACCCCCACACAAGAAAATTTGCTAAAGGTGGGAGACCTTTCAGACTTTCAGTCCCCCCAATAGACCATACTCTAGTCATGGCGGAGGTCGGTGGGTTCAAGGCTAGGGTCTTGGATATTTGGCTGAGAAGAGGGGGACCTCGTGATCAAAAAAAACCTATGGTGATAGAGAAAGTTGGATTTCTATTCCCGACTTTTATACATTGTTGGAGTATAGATAGTCTAGGTTTATTAGGATTTCTTTTCCCTTTTGTACTCTTACTATGATTTTTATATTTTGCCTAAACTACAAGGGTGTTTAAGTCACTCTGTATTATTTTTGGATATATATACGGGGTTCTACTCTTAATTTGAGTATCCCTTTTCATTCACAACTATCTCAAGTTGGTATCAGAGCCATTAACCCTAACCCTAATTCTAACTTAAGCCTCCACTCCATCGTCTACCTCTGCTTCACCGTCCAGCAGCCCCACCGACAGAACCCACATACCAGCCACCGACATCACTGCCCACCAGCAAAACCGACAAACCAAAATCGTCTACCTCTGCTTCACCGTCCAGCAGCCCCACCGACAAAACCACACACCAGCCCATTCCATCGACCCACTCAAACCAGCAAAGGAACCCAGCCTCCCATCAGAACCAGACCACACCGCCAGCGACAAAACCAGACAAGCTACTGCCTGGTACCACCGACAGCCATAAAGCACCGACAAACTCCACCGACAACCAACATCAACATCACCGATCACCGAATCAGTCCACCGACTGAAGCGAAACACCGACTGAAGCGAAAATCCTACATCAAACTCCACCGACATATTAAAATCCAACTCCTCACCAAACTCCACCGACATATTAAAACCCAACTCCTACATCAAACTCCACCGACATATTAAAACCCAACACAGCCCAGCCCAGCCAATAAACCCAACACAGCCCAGCCCAGCCAATAAACCCAACACAGTCCAGCCCAGCCGACCCAACACAGCCCAGCCCTGCCGACCCTGGATATTCTGCATGATTCTCTGAAAACTGTGCCATTCTTGGATGGTTATTTGGCTCAATGGAGCCCTCTGTTTGCAGGATCCACCAGTTTCATAGCTCTGTTCCGAAGCTATGGAGCGCATTATCAGAGATGTATTCTCAGTCAGGACGGGGAGTTCGTGTTTATGAGCTTTCTCAGGAGCTCTCATATGCTCGGCAGGGAGATATGACCGTTCAGGATTATTATGGCTATTTGACCCAGCGCTGGCTTGAGTATGAGTCTCTACGTCCTCTTGCTGCTATTCCGAAGATAGAGCCCGAGGGAGCAGCATTCTTGCATACTCGAGAGCAGGAGGATAGGATTCACAAGTTCCTTATGGGGCTTCGTGATGAGTTTGAGGGACCTCGTTCTCAGATCTTGTCGATGTTGACACTTCCTTCTCTTTATGAGGTGTATGGGATGATTGAGCAGCATGAGCGTCGAGTCCGTATTGCATCACTTCCAGTTGCAGCTTTGACTCCTTCGATTGACCAGATGGCCCTTGCAGCTGCTGTAGGGTCCCGTTCAGGATCCTTAGTCAGGGATGGGCAACGCCGTCAGGGCGCCCTAGATCAGCGCAGACGGGGGGATTCCCGTCAATGTGATTATTGTGGCCGACCAGGACATCTCAGGGCTACTTGCTGGAAGCTCCATCCAGAGCTTAAGCCACCTTCTCGCAGCCGTACTGTTGCTATTGCTGAGGTACCACCGCCCACTACCGCCACTCCTGCTACTGCTCCTCCTTGGCAAAGTGATATGGATGCTATCACTTCCCGATTAGATATACTTATGTCTGCTCTGACTTCTCAGAGTCTGACTACTGCTGCTGTCACCACTACAGGTATATCTCGTGCCTTTCACGCTTGTGCCAGTTCATCTCCCCTTTGGATGTTGGACTCGGGTGCGAATGGTCACATGACAGGTGAGGCCCATCACTTCACCACTTTTGACGAGCCATTACATACACAGGTTCAGTTAGCAGATGGAACACATGCCCCTATTGTTAGTAGGGGTACAGTCCGTCTCCCAGATGGCCTTACATTACATTCGATTTTTCATGCGCCAAAGTTGGCCATGAATCTATTATCTGTACATCAGTTAGCCAGAGATTTTCACTGTGCGGTTGTATTCTTATCTGATTCGTGTTATTTGCAGGACCTGAGTACCAGGAGGATTATTATCAAGGGACATGAGAAAGATGGACTGTATTATCTTGGCAATCCATCTCCAGTTTCACCAATTCCTTCACCTGCACCTGCTTTGTCTTTTTCTGTTCCTAGCTTGCATGCTAGTATTTTACCTAGTAGTTGTCGTTATGATTTTTCGTCACAAACTGTTCAATTGTGGCATGACCGTTTTGGACATACAAATTTTAAATATTTATGT